TTATCCATCTATTACCAGCCGTAGGCTTGACAGGGTTTATAAACTCATCCCTCTGTTACCAACCATACGCTTGACAGGGTTTATAAACTCATCCATCTGTTACCAACCATACGCTTGACAGGGTTTATAAACTCGCACATACCGAAGAGATGAGCCATGGCCACCGCTGCACACACACTGTCCACATCAGCCGAGCGATGACCCACAAAGCCAGTTCGAGTGTAGCCCGAGGGAATGCCGTGTAAGTGATGCCACAGCTGTGTGGTGTCTAGGGCGACTGTGGGAGAGAGAGAGAGAGAGAGTATGCACAGACCATGACCACACGTGAGCAGGGACTAGTGCACGGAGAAAGGCAAGCAGAATGAGAGGAGAGAGTGGTAATAGCATGACATGACATGCGCATAAGCATCTGATGGCAGAATCAGTGTGTGGTGTCGATGGCAAGCACCGCGGGTGCATGCATAGGTCATTATAATATCATCCACCTCATACATTATACTATCATCCACCTCATAGTCCACAAGCAGGCAATGACAGGTGTGTATGTGCTAGTAAGCATTGACATGTGTGCATGTGCTAGTAAGCATTGACATGTGTGTATGTACTAGTAAGCATTGACAGGTGTGTATGTGCTAGTAAGCATTGACATGTGTATATGTGCTAGTAAGTATTGACATGTGTGTATGTGCTAGTAAGCATTGACATGTGTGTATGTGCTAGTAAGCATTGGCAGGTGTGTATGTGCTAGTAAGCATTGTCAGGTGTGTATGTGCTAGTAAGCATTGACAGGTGTGTATGTGCTAGTAAGCATTGACAGGTGTGTATGTACTAGTAAGCATTGACATGTGTGTATGTGCTAGTAAGCATTGACAGGTGTGTATGTGCTAGTAAGCATTGACAGGTGTGTATGTGATAGTAAGCATTGACATGTGTGTATGTGCTAGTAAGCATTGCCATGTGTGTATGAGTGTACCTGCATGACGCTTCCTCCAGATCATTGGGTGGTCTGTGGCAGTGGCTGTCATGACCGATACCACACACACCACACACACCACACCACATAGCAACACAAGCGAACGGCGGAAGCTCAACAGGGAGTACTTGGCACGAATGACTAAGCGATGTACCTGAGAAGGATAAAGAGTGATAAGATATTAACATTAGTGACTCAACGGATGGTGGATGAATGACACCTCAACAGAGAGTATGTACACACAAACACAAGCATAGATATATCATGTGAGTACGTACACACACACATGCATGCATATCTCATGTGTGCACATACACACACACATGCATGCATATCTCATGTGTACACATACACACACACATGTATGCATATCTCACGTGTACACATACACACACATATGCATGCATATCTCATGTGTACACACACACACACACACATGCATGCTTATCTCACGTGTGCGTGTACTTACCTTGCGCCCCCACTTCCTCTCCTTTGGCGCTTGTTGTGTGTCGGCTGACATTACATTCGATTGGCTCAGTGGGGCATCTGCAGTGACGTACAATCGTGTGACAGCATGTGTTGATATGTGACATACGAAAGACGATATCAGACTAAAGTTGAAGAAAGAAGACTGTATATGAGAAATGGGTATAGAATAGAGAATACTGGGGTACTAAACATAAAACGATATGCTTCAGCAATAAACGCGTAATGACATGTTTAAATAAAAAATATATAGTAATATGTTTAAAGGAAATAGACATAACAGTATAAGTTTAGGTCATAAACTTAAAAAATATTTATCAAACATATATTAAAATATATTAATACGCCTAACTAATAGACATGTAATAAGATGTTTAAGTAATAAAATTATAATAATATATGTAAGTAATAAATATAATATGTTTAAGTAATAAACATGTAATAAGATGTCGAGGTAATAAACATATAATCATATGATTATGACCGAAATCAACATAAAAATATATATTTAAGTAATAAAAATATGATAATATGGTTAAGAAATAAACATATAAAATGAAGTAAAAACCATAAGAATAGGTTTAAGTAACAAACATATAATTATATGTTTAAGTGATGAACGTACAACAATATATTTAAGTATTCAACATATAACAACATATATAAGTAATAAACTAATGATATACTTATGAGCGCTTCATTCATCCCAGTGAACTAAATGTGTCTACCACTAAATAACAGTATATATTTGCAGTGAACACGTAATGATATAGTTGAGTAATAAACACATAATAATATGTTTAAGGAATCAACACATATTAATATGATGTAAAAATACATGATAATATGATTTGAAGTAATAAACACAGATAATGGTAATAAACATACAATAATATGATTAAATAAAAACACATAATAATGTAATTAAGTAATAAACACACAATAATATACACACAACCACATGGTTCATCCCATTACACTGTATGTGCCTACCGTTGCTTGGAAATATAGTGTTTCTGGGATTATTTGAACTCCTGACTGTGGGCCACCCCACCGGCAGGGCTGGCAGAGGGGTGAGATCATCTTGACTCCATCTGATCATCACATCCACTCGACAGTGTATTTCTGACGTGTCTCCATATAGCGATGCTCAGGTGGACATCCGTTTGTCTATAACCATGTGGGTTCATGTGCACATGTGTACACAATGAATGCATATACCTATACAGAGGCTATTGTATTGTAGTTCTACAGATCATGGCCAACTGATTCTGTCAACAGATGCAGCGATTAAAACAACTTGTGTAAATATCTGGTTGATGCAGTCCGGTAGACAATTTTATATATAGTTGCTTTGACATGCCATCAACTCTAAACCCTAAACCCTATTAACCCTGGGACGATGGATCAATAGATAAAAAACGAAATAGGACTGGCGATTTCTCAACTGTGTGTGGTCACTGTGATCAGTGGTGGTAGGTGTTGCCTTCTTGTTGACTCTTATCTTAGCCTTATGCATAAGACACACTGTGTGGTGCACCATGGCAGTGAACTACTCGACGCTTACATAACAAACACTCAGCGCGCTTTCACACACACACACACACACATATATATATATATACATACATACATACACACCCACACACACACATACACACCCACACACACACACACACACACACACACACACAC